GTCACGTATCATTAGTCACTCTATTAAACTGAAGATGGCATAAGCATGCCGAAACATGTCTTTAAAAACTGTTGTACGTTTTATGCAATATTTATCATTGTTGCTAGTATTACGACCTTATGGAAATTTCGTTTTGCTGAGGGGATCTGGCGCAAAACAACTGGTCTCGCAATTTCCAGACTCCCACATCGATCCTCACATTGATCAGGAAAGCCAAAGAGCTTGTTAGCCCACGAAATACTATAAAGGAATGATGTGTTCACAAAGGAATGAATCAATAAACACAGCAGACATGTACAGAAGCTCCAGGTCTACAGGCGAGCTAAACTTCTCAAAGCAAATACAATTTTCTTATCCACTCTGCACGGAAACACGATTCCGTTTAACTGCATAAAGCGGAAGTCAAAGATATAACTCTCCGTAACTAAGGCCTATCTTCTTTAACAGTTGCATTTCATATGTCAATGCAACTGGATAACAAAAATGCTCGAGAGGACCTGGGTCAAACAATGACGCGCTGTATTCTGGTTTATTTATCTTGACAACAACATGACTATTTCATACACCACTTTTTTTTTTTTTTTTTTAGACACATCTAATCTTTATAAGACGTTGTTTTACAATTTGGCCAGACGGGATATTTCACATAAATTACTTCAAACAATAGAACCATGATTGTAAAATGGTGTAAATCAAATTGCAACAGAATTGTTTGATCTAAATTTTCCCAAGAATTATACTGTGAACATGAACGGATTCTTTTCGATTTTGACGGGGGCTAACTTTTTGGTAACTTTCCAATAATGTAAATATATCGTGTAAACCTCACGTGTACCTCTTTGCGGACCATGTACCTGTGCAAAATTGCATAACCAATCCTAATATGGTAAGGCTGGGGGTGTGTCGTGACGTCACTCACCATAACGGGCGAAGTGAACCTTTTGTATATTTGGTTGCATCAAAACTTTTTCGCCGGTAAGAAATATTCGCGCCGGCTGTTTTCCTTTCGTGTTTAGCCAGATTTGTTCCTTGCTTGTCCTCTTTTACATCATGAGTCGCAATAAGAAGCAACACTCTCCAACTGTTCATTTTGTTGCTGGTGGTTTGGGAGGTTCGTTCGGCGCCTTCGTAACATGTCCTCTGGAAGTTATTCAGACAAGACTTCAATCGTCCGCATTTCGGCTTCAAAGAACTGCAAAACTTCGGGTTACCCAAAATCTCTCATCAACTGGCCCAGCTGCAAATTTCAGTACAACCACTGTGGCTGACTCGAAACTAAACATCGCCGCGAACCGTTTCAAAGGAATAATTTCGTATGGAAGGTACATGGTTCAACACGAAGGGTTCTTTTCGTTATACAAAGGCCTAGGACCGACACTGATCGGTGTCACTCCGTCGAGAGCGATATACTTCGCCTTGTATTCCACAGCAAAGGATAAGTTGAACAAATCCGGCAAACTAACTGCTGATTCTACGCCGGTGTATATGATTTCAGCCGCGGCTGCTTCGTTTGTTAACCACACAGTCACAAACCCGCTGTGGTTTGTGAAAACGCGATTGCAATTAGATCACAGAGACGCTCGGAGAGTAAGAACTTTCCAGATAGTGAGAGACGCTTACAAGAGCGAAGGAATCAGAGCTTTTTACCGAGGGCTTTCAGCATCTTATGTGGGAATCTCAGAGACGGTCGTGCATTTCACGATCTACGAACAAGTGAAAGCGAGATTACTGAAGTTTCAACGCAAGACACTTCGAGACCTGAATGTGGTCGAGTGTCTCCTCGCTGCCGGTTTTTCAAAATCTATCGCTGCTAGTCTTTGCTATCCGCATGAAGTTGCTCGCACCCGCCTCCGTCAACAGGAAAGCGAATTTCTGGGAAAGGCCAAGTACAGATCGTTTCTTCAAACACTGAAAACTGTCGTAAAGGAGGAAGGATGGAGTGGTCTTTATGGAGGTTTAGGAACTCACTTACTTCGTCAAGTGCCTAACACGGCGATCATGTTCTTTACTTATGAAGGAGTAGTACATCTTTTAGAATCAGGGAACGCATGAACCGTTCTATGTATGTTGGAAATCGAAATTTCATAATCACCAATCCACACTGTTATCAGAAATTTCTGGCAATAACGAAATGAATAAGCTTAAATTTTGTAGTTTTCGTGAACGGAAGTGACGGTAGATTTAGTATTAAAATAGTTTATCTTGTTGATTTTACTTTTTCTCTTGCCAAGATTTGGCTTGGTTTGAAGTATCGAGTTCTTTCGAGGATAGTTCTTGAGTTCTTGTAGGTTATTTAAATTTATTGTGGTAGGCTAAATCTCTTTCGGTGGCATTGGACCATGCCAGAGATTTCACAAGGTTATGAATATTTAAGTGATTTACATTGTTTCCTTTGCTAAAAGGTTGCTTAGGAATTTAGTTAAATAATTCGGGTCCAGGCTGATTTGAGTAATATTCTTTTTTTTGCAGAATGGCTAATGTTTGGAGTTTATTTTACCAATAATAATTATTTTATGTATTTGTTAATTCCCCACGGGTATAAATATTGGAATGCATGTGACTTTCCATTGAGAATTACATTTTGGTAGTTCTGAGAGTAGGAACTTGCCATAAAAATATTTTTTATTTTCACAAAGTCTGTACAAAATGATCCGAGAAACACTTCTTTTCAAAGCTTGTTTTTTGTTTCGGCATTATTCATGTCAGTTATTATGTCAGTTAAAGAAAAAAAAACAATTGTTTCACTTGCCTTGACCTTCACCAAGTTCAGAGATATAATTACTAATTTGACTAAGGCTGCTCGGCAGTATCCTTATTTTGTTGTCCACTATGCATATGACAACAGTTTGCTGTTTAAGTTATCAAATACAACCCCAATGTAACGTGACTTATCTGTTTGGTATCAAGTTAAAAGAAGTAATTTATCTTGTTCATCCTTCCAATGTTTGTTTTTTTGGGTGAGGAGGCAGTATTAAATCCTTGTGTGGGAGGGAAAGAAGCTTGCATGACAAGCAGTGTTAAATTTTTATTTACACTCCAACATGATTAATTCAACTCAGGTTGCCTGTTTATTATTTTTGATTATTATTTTGTCCTTTACTGTCGATATGAGAATAATATGTTGTCCTAGCTATCAATGTAAACACAAGGTGGCTATTGTTTGGTATCAAGCAAAAAATAATCTTTCTTCCTAGGAAAATTGCATTCTTGAAAAAATGTTTGTGGTTAAGGTGGAGAGGAAGCATTTATACTTACATGGGAGGGGAAGGGAGGGATGGGGGAGGGATGGGATTTTGTCTGCTTGATAAGCACTGTATCTATTTAATATACTTTTTTATTAAAAATATGAATATTTTTGTGGTTTATAAAATTTTGCTAGTCAGTTGACTATTCTTGCTTAATTCTTGATATACCACTCATAATCTTTTGGACCGAAGGTACATACACATAAATGCCACTTTTGACAGAACAATCAGTGCACCTTATTGTGTGTGTAAGATGCTAACACCCCACGATCCAGCTGTAGTGGTCCTTTGTTTGCATCACATCCATAGTGCAGTTGATCAAGAAC